TAAATATGGTTTTGTTGTATAAACAGCATAAAAGCCATTATAGTAGCGTCGTATAAAGTCCGTATAAAAGCGCCATAAATAAGGCGATGTATACTGTGTTGTTGGCGAAAGAGAGGAGCAATTTAGGAGCGCTCTTTGTGTTATGACGGGCATTATCTTGCTTCGATTTACGCCACAATAAAATGACGATTAAATAAAACGTCAATTGTGATACTTTGAAAACACTGTTGGTGAAACTCGAAGTGCAAAAAGTGTGTTTCTCTGATAGGTATTAATAATGTTGTCGTTTATTCCTTAGATAAGAGTAGAATTTTTACTAGGGTGCTATTATTTGATTTAGTTTTTCTTTATTTTATTCGATATAATAATGGTCAGTTGGTGTTTTTTTCTTATTCTTTTTTATTTGGGGCTCTTGAATCTTAAACAACACTTTCCGACTCAATATCTATCTGTTTTAAGGATAGTGTACTTTTGACCGTTTGTCCAAAATGGCAAACTTGGCGATTTTTGAAAAAGAAAGTTCAAATCCAAAAATTTTCAAATGAAGTCGAAAATTCTCAAAAACGACTGAACCGGAAATGCCACCGTCTTGACAAATATTTTTATTGAGCAGGACTAACAGATTATAACTGTATGCAATTTTATAAAAATATATCATTGTCAGAACTTTGTATTTTTATAAAAACGTCAATAAATTAATTCTCAAAAAAATGATGTTTTTTTTTTAATTTGCCACAAAAAGTATTATCATTTTAGTAATTGAATTAATTTATCTGCAAATGTCGCAAAAGTGGCCCTTTTATGACTAAATGACACAAGTAAAAGTTTTACCTTCCAGGAAAGGAATAAAACTTTGTTTTTTTGCTTAAGCAAAATGACATTTGCCATCAGAATTCGACATTTTACACTACTAACTGCACTAGTCATGCACTAGTTAAATCAATAAACACTACAAAAAGTTTTGATACTGACGCGTTACGTTTGTTATATAATTTCATTGTAAGGCGTCCTGAATATTTTGTTCATTTACTTGCTAATTACAGTGTTGTTCTTTACTCTCGATTTGAATACGTTTGCGAATAAAATAGTATACTTCTATAACATATTTGGAGGAAAAGTGAGTTTATGCGGTTCAGCTGAATTATGTGCCTCACTACGTTTGGCAAAATAAATGCAAAACTTATAGAATTATTTCATTATAAGTAGAACTGAAAACACAAATTTTCTCAAATATCAGCAATAAATTGTAAAAAAGTTTGCCATTCTTACCGATTTTGATGCCATAATTACTTTTTACACATTTTACTTTACTACTTTTAAATAATTCACGAACAAAAAACACAAAGTTGGCGATTTTTGAAGAAGAAAGTTTAAATCCAAAATTTACAAAAAAAGTCTAAAAATTTTAAAAACGGCTGAACCGGAAATGCCACCATCTTGAAAATATTTTTATCCACAATCACTCTATAAAGAGACTTTATTCCACACTTTAGATGCGCATAAAGTACCACTTTATCCACTAGTGGAATAAAGTAACTTTATTCCACTGTTAGTAACCAGCGCACCGCGTAACAGCTTACTACGTTTAACTGAAAGCACATTTGGCGTGCCGTTTAAATGTCAGTTTAAGTTTTAATTAAGTTTGGAATAATTTGGGCCTATGATTGTGGATAAAACGTTATATTGCAGTCGTGTGTTAGTCGCGTTTTATCCACTTAAGAAAATTAACCGTGGATAAAACGCTACCTAACACACACTTACAATAAATAACTATTATTGAGCCGGACTAACCGATTATAACCGTATGCAAATTTATAAAAATATATAATTGTCAGAACTTTGTATTTTTTTATAAAAACGTCAATATATTAATTCTAAAAAAACTATTATCGTTTTGGTAATTAAATTAATAATAAGTGTAACAAAGGTCATTTGGTGAAAAAATAATTGTGCGATTTTGCAAGGTTCACAATTGATCTCTTAATTGGAAAAAATATATTATTATTGTTTTTTATTACCCATACAAATGCACTGCTGCGCCACCACGCTCCCGACCAGTGTCTCTGTTTTAATCCTATACACATACACACATTTTTTCAAAAATTTGTTAAAAACACCAATGGCATATAAAGAAATGCCGTAATTAGACTTTACTATTTTTAAATAATTCGCGACGGTTTGTTATCGAATTTTCATCGTTTTGGTTGCTTTTTATATCAGACAGGACCGTAACCAGAATTTTATTTCGGGGGGGATTTCTTGTTGGTCCATGAAAATGAAATGAAAGAAGACGAATTAAAAAGCAAAAATCTCTAAGTACACGTTTTTATTTTAAATTGAAATACGAGATCCTAATTAAACATAAAAAAATACAAATTAACTCACAAAAGTAACAAAAAATAAAATAAGTTTTTTTATTTTTACAAATTTAAACAGGAGATGAATATTCATTTTTAAAACAAAAATTTTCTATGAACATATATCGAAAAATGCTACGCGAGGGGTGCGTCTTTTAATAGGTTTTTTCTCAATATTTCCAAAATCATTTTAGAAAAAATTTTCAAAATTTGGTACAGATGATAACTTTTATACACCTAAACAAGTACAAAAATAAAATGTTGAAATTTTTAATTAGGTGCTTCTTAAACTAGATGGGATTAGGGTAAAAATTTACTCTAACTATTTTGCCTTTGGTTTCTTGCCACTTTCAGCAACAAAATTTCATAGTTTTTCATAAAAAAAGGTCTTTTGTGTTTTTCCGATACAACTTTCGGATTTTTAGTAAAAATCGGTTTAAAAATTTATGTTACAGACCATAAACAGCATAAAAATTAAAAATTAAATTTGTTTTACCGTTTAGGACGCCCCTGATTAAAAATTTTGTTATTTGGCATTTGTTTAGGTGTACATATAAAGGTACCAAATTTTGTAATTTTATCTATTCTGAAATATTAGGAAAAACCCTTTAAAATGTACCTTTTTTACGGGGGTTTCATAGCATTTTTCAAAACACTTTTATCTTAAAATTAAATATTCTATCAACTATTTAAATTTGTACCTAACAATAAAAATGAAACACTGTAGGGGTTTGAACCTCTTAATGCCAAACAAATTTCCACTCGCAGAAAATGAACAACTTTTCTTAACTTGTGTAATAAAGTAGTATTATCTTGTCGGTATAATTAAAAAATGCGATAATTTAGATAAAATTTACGGTTTATTTTATTAATAGCTAATCACAACGGTTGAGACAATTTGTGTCTTAATAAAGCTTGTTGAATCGCGCGTCTATATATGGAAGATATTGCTTTTGACCAAAAGCGTCGACACCGACATTGATGAAGAAGCACTCTCGAGTTCGTATTTTATACGGTTTGATTGAGACGTTGAAAATAGTTTTTATTTTGTTTTGATTATGTAAAATATCACGTTGAGTGCATTCCCCCGAAATCGAATTAAACCGAAATCGTCCAAGTTGTATTTCCGATCCCCTATCGGCGTAATCAAAGCCGCAGACTGGCGACACGGACAAATATAAATGCTAATGAAGTCACAGTTAGGCTTTACACGACATCGGAATCGCATTCGCACTTGAACACAACACTCAAATTAGCATAAGACTCGTAATAAGTTATAATGATCGGAGTTGATTTCAATTTTACAAGCGCGATCCTCTTCTAAAACATTAAAATTATTACCGAAACCGTTAAAAGACATCGAATCGTCGAAGCTATGTGCCATCAAAACGTCACACCAAACAGAAAACCTATTTATTCGAGCCAAAGTTTATGACTTAATTCGCTCATGCGGCTTCTTTCTTTGCCCGAAAAATCCCAATCGAATTTTTTTCCAAAAACGAATCGCTGCAGAGGAATTTTTTACCGGAGCTGCTGCTTCAGTAGTAGGCTCAATAATAATTACCGGCAGTTGGTTCGACCGTCACGTGCAGCCTTAGCAATTTTCTTTTGATTAATAGGAGCGATATATCAGTACCTATCAATATTGTTCGGAGATGCGGCGGTCAGGGCACTTAAGATATACCACCAACTGATTACTGCAATTACAACCACGTAGGTGTTAAAACATTCGAAAGTCGCTCGATGACGTTAATTGCGGTACCATCCACAAACTCGAATCCAATGAATGAAACTCTTCAATGCTTTCTTTAACTTTGTTATGAATCGGATTCTTCTAGTCGCGTTGTTGCAACTTTTTATGCAACTACCAAGACGGCTTTTTGCACGTCTACTACGTCTAACCGGTATGGAAATCGACCGAACGATGCATTTTTAACCCAATTAGTCGCGATGAAAAATGGACTTTAAGCACCATTCGCGGGGAGCACGACGCCTCAACACTGCACCCCAAAAATTTGAATTTGCAATTGTTCACCTAAGTCAATTTTATTGGAGCATTGTAGAAACGCAAAAAATAAATTTTTGTGATGGCCGGGATAAAATCAAACAAACTTGTTTTATCTGCAAACGTCACAAAAGTGACCACTTTTATGACTAAATGACACAGGTAAAAGTTTTACTTTTCAGACATGGAATAAAAACACTGTTTTTACGCCTAGGCGTTTTCACTTTTACTTGACACTTACTTTGACATTTACCACTGTTGTCTCTTTCTTGTCCCTTTCGCTTTTTCAGCATTTTCTGGAGAGGTACAAGGTAGATTATCAGCATTCGACATTTTGCACTATAAACTACACCAGTTATTCACCAGTTAAATCAGTGAACACTTTCGAAATCTCAACACAAATTCCGAAACTGACGCGTGACGTTTGTTATGATTTTATTGCAAAGCGTCCTGATTTTTGAGGTGATTTACTTGATTATTGGTGTGTTGCTCTTTTCGTTCTATCTGAATCGTTTGCAGATAAATTAGTATATGTTATTTGGAGTAAAAGTGAGTTTATGTGGCTCCGCTGAATCCATTTGCCTCACTCATTTTTTTTTCTAGACACACTTTTTTTTAACAACATTTAATTCAAAAATAGGCGCTCACAGCTCGGCCAACCTGACAGATTGATCGCTCTCGATCAATAATTATTTACAAAATCAAATATACAAAGTCTTAAAGTTAATTCAAAAAATACAAAAACTTAACTAATTATAACAATTAAAATCCAAAATAATTCCTTAATCAATAATTATAAACTGAACCCATTGTCAATCGCCCTTAACGTAGCTAAAAGCTTTTTTTTTTAACATTCACTCCAACAGCTGGTTCCTTTTTCACATTTCCATTCTTATATTTCGTTTGAAACTTAGCCTCTTCCTTTAAAATCTGATTAGCAAAATCCAAGTTATCATCAAAGCGTTTTTATCAAACGACAACAAATGTGCTTTCTTCAACCGCAACTCTATGTGTTCGGCATCTTTGACAGTCTCCTTAATTTTTTCGGTGTCCTCTTCAGCATACCCCAAGTTTTCTTTGTGAGTTTCAATCACGTTACTGTAATTTTTAACTGAATATATTGCCTTCAAACAGTAGTCACCCAGACGTTTATTGAATTCGTCGTTGTTTTTATGATCTTCAGTTTTTTGTATCGTGTTTTGTAAATTCATTTCGATTCTTTCCAACTTAATGGAGGAGGACGTTGCCTGCCTTGGAACCAAATTTGAAAAGCGTTTGCGGGCATTGCTGGTCAAGGACTTTTCTTTAGTTTCTATCAACTTTGTTAATTTTGCAATTTCGGTCAAAGCTTGCGCAAGTTCTTTCTGACACTGCTTGTGTTTTGTCATCTCCAAATTGAGTCTCTGTTTCGAAGTCTTGCTTTCCAAAGTCAGTTTTCTATTCAAAACAACAATTTCATTATCAGCCTTACCGAGTTTTTTCTTCACATCTTCTAATTCCTCGAATAATTTCTCTCTTTCTAACAAGTGTTTATCTTTGTCGAGTTTTTTATAATGTTTCAATTGTTCTTGGACACTTTGCAATTCGTCGTTTTTATGTTTCAATTGATCATTCAGCTCTTTTACATTTCGCCTCAACTGTTTGTTTTTTTCCGTTAAAAACGTTATTTCCTCCTCGTGTGATTGTATCAGATGTGGCGATTCGGCATTAGCACCTCCATACTTTGTCAATGCTCTGTCTCGTCGCTTCTGTACCGTTTTCAAAGCCTGATTTTCCCTAATCACTTCAAAATCTGGTGGAATTAAGTTACCCTGATCTTGAATTATATAAGTAGGTACTGAATGCTTCAGCTGGTCGTTTCTGAACCGGACAATCTGTCACTTTGTGGCCTTGTTTCCCACATTCAAAACATGAACCACGTTCTCTCCTAGGCTTTGGACAGTTGGTTGCATTGTGACCCAAAACATTACAGTTGTAGCATTTTCTCACAGAAGAACTATTCGTTGAAACAGAGTGATTGGAAACACCCTTGTCTTCAATCTGACGGCGAAAATTTGGTCTGCTCCTTGAGACACTAGACCGAAGTTTTGTTTGTCTAAATTTCTCATAGATCTCCAGCTTCTGCTTCAACTGATTCAACGTTTTGGCCTCATACAACCATAATTTCTTATCACTCTCTTCTGGAATGCCATCAATTACATACTGAACCACTGCTTCCTCTTCTATACTAGCTCTTAATGCCATTTCCTTCATTTTCAAAAGATATTCTTGAAGTGACTCATCTTTTCCCATTTTTCGGTTACCTAGCTGCCGATGCAAATCTGCACTGTTCACTCTCGTTGCGAATTCATTTGTTAGTTCTCTTCTTAACTGGGACCAAGTTTTGACGCCTCTGACTCCTTGCATAAATAGTTTTGCTAGTCCCGTCAACGATTTTTTGACAAAAATCAACTTTTGTAGATCAGTCCAATTCATTAACAGAGCTAAATCTTCAAAGTCAGAAATCCATGAGTGAATCTTCTATGTCGCGGAAAGTCATTGTAAACTTTGGTATTGCAGATTCAGTAGAATGATTTACACTTTCATTGAACTCCTTGTGTTCGTTGTGATTTTCTTTAGGCTCTCTGTCTTTGTTCCTATTTTCACTTTCATCTTCATAAATTTCCTCTTCTTCGTCTTCATCTGCGTTTTCATTCTCCAAGTCGTTCAAATTTGTTAAACCTCTGCGGCAATTTCTTCAGCCGTGCCATTAAAATTTAAATGCAATAAAGTGCAAGCCGCTGTCAATTCTGCCACTGAAAATTCTTCACAAATCATAGTCACCTTCTCTTCAAACTCTGCTGAATCTAATTCAAACTGGAACCCTTCAAAATTCAACAAAGAACGCCGATTTAGTCGTGCACTTCCTCGTCCAAACGTAATTTGAAACAAAGTGCGAGCTGTACTTGCCGGGGCGTTTTTGATGATATCACTCAATCCCGGAATATCTCGGAGTTTAACCATCTTCTAATTTCTTCTTAATTTGCGTATCCACGTGGTTTTCATAAAACGGTCGAAAACTTCAGAAATCACAATACTTAATCGTAAATCTTCATCTTCTTCCTTGTTTTACTTTGTTCGTTAATCCCACTTCTGATGATGGCCGGGATAAAATCAAACAAACTTGTTTTATTCCACAAATTTTATTACAACTGACTTGTTTACAAAAACTACTGTCATTTTTTTTTCTAGACACACTTTTTTTTAACAACATTTAATTCAAAAACAGGCGCTCACATTTGAAAAAGTTTGTGTTTGTCTATGGGATTAAAACAAAGACACTGACCGGGAACGTGGTGGCGCAGCAGTATAAAAATACTCGTATAATAAAATAAAAAAATATACAGGGTGTCAATTTTAAAACTTGCAATCGGCAATATCTCTAGAACTAAAAAAGTTATTGAGAATCGCTCAAAACCGTTTCGGTGGTTTTTAGGGGGAATCAAAATGGCATGGTAAGGACGCTCCTCCACCCACCCTTCAAGCCACAGCCACCTTAAGTAGAAAATCTTAAATGGCACGACCCTACTTGCGATACTTCGTTGGAAAGCCCATAACAAGCGCTTTTCAAAAATGTCATACAACAGCCTATTTGGTAAAGCCATTTGTCCAATTATTCAAAAACGAAGACGTTAAATTTTAATTTTTTTTATAATATTCAAGGGTGAGTGGAGGTGTGTCACTTATCATGTCATTTTAATTCTCCCTAGGAACCACCAAAACGGTTTTGAGTGATTATTAATAACTTTTTCAGTTGAGAGAAATTGCCGATTGCAAGTTTTAAAATTGACACAGTGTATATTTTAAGACATTGGTTGTGAATATTGCAAGAATCACGCATTTTTTTTGAGTTTTATATCTCATTTTTCTCAAAAAATTGAAAAATTTAAAATTGAACCAAATGACGTTTTTTGCACTTCTGAGGCACAAAAAAGTGCATAAAACATTGTTGGGTCGAGTTTGAAAGAAATCAATTTTTTAAGGACAATAAAAATAGTAGAAATGGTCAATCAATTTTTGTCAAAAAATTTCCGTCTTCTAGACGTAAAATCACATGCTGAACACGATTTGACAAGTTAAAATGCTCTACGAGATTTTTAGTGATATATTAAGAAATTGAGTAATACATGTATTATAGAGCTATAAGCATAGGCATTATATCAGGGTGCAGCCAAAAAAATTTTTTTTTTGAATCCTATCATAACTGACACTATATGTAAAATTACTCGTAGAATTCGTCTGTATAAACTAGGATATATAGTTTTTGAGTTATGAACAGCTTTTTTATGAAAAATTAAAAATGGCTTTGTATCCGGATTCATTGTCGCAGCGACTTAGGGTTAACGCCGTTATATTTTGATGTTTATTTGCTTTTTGCCCTAAGTCCGATAGTTTCGTAGAAAAACGTTTTTAAAGTTTCAAAATTTTCACTTTTTTTTCTTTTTGTACGACGACAAAACAAATTTTTACCTTTTCTTTTTCGTAAATTGCAGCGAAACAGTACTTCAATGCTATAATATTTTGACCTAGACATATGTAAAATGTTCCGGGGATTTGATTGGCCTTAAGAAAACTACAAAATTCGTAATAGTTTTGAAGTTATGGTCGAATTTATATTTTAGATATTTTTGACTTTATCAAAAATTTTCTCGATAACTATTTATCGCAAAAGACTGATCTTTTTTGTATATAATAGAAATTTTTTTTTCGAACGCTACCAAACATAAGAGGTTATCATCAATAAGTCCGGAGTTATTGGTAATAGACCGCTCCGGATGCCAAAAAATGGCCAAAATTTCGACAGAAATTGAAAAATGTTCAACTTTAAAATTGATCCATTTAACGTTTTTTACATTACTAGAGGTCCTAAAGACTCAAAAAAAGTGCATAAAACGTTATTGGATCAAGTTTAAAACATTTCGAATTTTCTGAGTTTTTGAAGGTGAGCGATAGTATAGTAAAAATAGTCAATTTACCTTAAGTCGTAAAAACGCTCTTAAAGAAAAAGCTCAACACCATCATAATTAGCGTAAAAGAAATCTATCGATTGACAGCAAAGCCAAGTCAATATCTCGCAAAAAAAAATTCAATTTTTAAACGTAGATTATAGAGAAACTAGTGGAGATAGCGCAAAATGATTGGCAAATTCGTAATCAGCGCGTCAAAATCTATCGGATAAGATAGGTTTAAATTGAATCTGAAACATGTTTAAAAACACTGGTTTTTAGCAAATTTTTACTTTTTTTTATTTTGTAAATTGCAGCAAAACTCTGTCTCAGTGATATAATCTTTTGACCCAGACATATGTAAAATGTTCCGGAGAATCGATTGACGTCAAGAAAACTGCAAAATTCGTAATAGTTTTGAAGTTATAGTCGAATTTATATTTTTGCTACTTTTGTTTTTACCAGCGAATTTTTCAATATTTATTTATCCTAGAAAAATGATCTTTTTTTTTAAATAGCAGATTAAAAGCGCTTTCCAACCATACCAAAAATTAAACAGTTATCAAAAAAAAAACTAAATTATTAGCATATATCCACTCCGGGTCCCAAAATCGAAAAAATTAAAAACTTCAAAATTGAACCAAATGCGCTCCTAGGGCTGCAAGCGCGAATAAGTCTAGAAAAATCCGATTTTGACCAAAAAATCAATTTTTTTTTTATTTTTATGAAAAACTAGGTCTATATGTAAAAGTAATCGTAGAACACGCCTGTGCAAATCGTTTTGATCTAGGACTCATAGTTTTTGAGATATTAATTTTTTATGAAAAAAAATAAAAATGTCTCTGTACCCGGAACTATAACCCGGAGCGACTCCGGATTTGGTCCATTAAATAGATAATTTAATGTAGATTCTGATGGTTTTTGGCATTTTGCTCTAAGCCTTATAGTTTCGTAGAAAAACGCGTTTAAAGTTTCACAATTTTTACAATTTTCACTTTTTGAACGGCGATTACGGCCAAACTATTAGACTTAGAGCAAAAAAATTTCACTCCATTGTAATCAGCGTAAGAAAATCTATCGACTGAAGCCAAAACCAAGTCGATATCTCGCAAAAAAAATTTGAATTTTTAAACGCCGATTACGGCGAAACTAAAGGAGATAGCGCAAAATGCTTAGTAATGGCTGGGGTGTTAACAAATTTTTACTTTTTTTTAATTTGTAAATTGTGGCAAAACTGCGTCTCAATGATACAATATTTTCAGGTAAACCTATGTAAAATATTCCGGGGAATCGATTGGCGTCAAAAAAACTGCAAAATTCCTAATAGTTTTGAAGTTATAAGCGGATTAAATTTTTGATATTTTTGACTTTATCAGAAATTTTCTCGATAACTATTTATTGTAGAACAGTAATCTTTTTTGTATATGATAGAAAATGAAATTTGCTTTCGAACGGTACCAAACATAAGAGGTTATTGCTAATAAGTCCGAAGTTATTCGCAATAGACCGCTACGAGTGCCAAAAATTAATCAAAATTTCGACAAAAATCAAAAAAAATTTTATCTTTAAAATTGATCCATTTAACGTTTTTTACATTTATAGAGGTCTTAAAGACTTAAATAAGTGCATAAAACGCCATTGGATCAAGTTGAAATAATTTGGAATTGTTGAATTTTTAAAGATGAGCGGTAGTAAAATCGTAAAAATAGTCAATTTAAGTCGTAAAATCGCTTGAAATATGGTTTTCTAGACGTAAAATTACGCGCTGAACACAATGCAACAAGTTAAAATACTCTACGATGCATAGTTTTTGAGATATTGACTAATAAAATTAAGAATAAGGCTAGAAACATCCGATTTTGACCAAAAAATATTTTTTTTTAATTTTTATGAAAATCTAGTACAAACCGTTTTGACCTAGGAGTCGTAGTTTTTGAGATATTGAAATTCGTAATCGTTTTAAAGTTCGAGTCCAGCGAATAATTATTTATCCCAGAACTAGGTTTTTTTATAATATAGCAGATTAAAAATGCTTTCCAACCATACCAAAAATAAGACAGTTATCAAAAAAAAAATCAAAATTATTAGCATATATCTGCTCCGGGTCCCGAAAATCGCCGAAAATTTTGACCAAAATCGAAAAAATTAATAACTTCAAAATTGCACTCCTAGGGCTGCAAGCGCGTTTTATCCGAAAAAAATCACACGCCATTGGTAGATCTCCATACAAGTCCCATAAAGGATAATGAAAATGTTGTTGAATTATCGGGATCGGTAAATAAATATGAAAAAAGTCCGAAAACACGT